CTGCCAGCGTTGCGTAGAGGAGCCGCGCCAGCGCTGCAGAAAGGAGGCCTGCCAACGACTGAGTCTAAGAAGCAGTGAGCTGTGGGACTGGGGCTACTGTGGTGAGGGCAGCAAGCGGAGCTGCGGTATCTTCTGTGTCAGCTGTGCCTTCTGTGAGGTTGGGGCGTGGGACGTGGTGTGGTGGCAGTCCGTGGATGGTGGAAGGGCTATCGATGGTTGGGTCATGGGGGCCTATGGGGGTGGACTCAGAGGGCAGTGGGCTATGTGGGTAGCGACTGTACGGTAGGATAGTGTCATGGTCAGAGGGAGGTCGTGAGGACTTGGAGGAATCCTAGGAGTCACTGGAGGGTGATCCTCCAGAGAGGGGGATGCCGATTGGTTTTGGGGTCCCATAGGGCCCAGCAGCTCCTTCTGCTGCTTCTTTCTCCGCGCGTGTGATGAGGTTTTCTATCGGCTCCTCTTCCTCGGCTGGAGTGGTTGCCTATGGTCCAGCTACGGTGCTTCTTCCTGCTCCCCAGCTGGTGTTGTTTGGAGGTGCTGAGGTCTTTCCCCATGCTGCTGCCCCAGTACCCATGCCCCAGCCGTGAGTGGCGGCTGCTGCTGCTGGTGCTGCATCTGTGTCTGCACGACGGCAGACCTCTTCTTCCTCTCGTCGTTGTAATTCTTCAGATGTCATGGTGCGGCGGGACCAGGGTCGAGTGACATGATAATTTTCCAGTCCAGATGGAGGGGGTTGTTGTTGGCGTCAAAGGTCCTAGGTCCCGTGTAGCGAGTTAAGAGGTGGAGGCGGTCATGCACGGTGGGATCAGTGACGTGTTTGCGTTGCTGAAGGATGGTGAGAGCTGCAGCAAGTTCAGCGTGGTGTCGCAAGCCTGTGGGATGTAGAGTCTGCCATTCTGCCTCCTCAACAATGTCTAGAGGCACAGGTGGTTCTTCCTCCGATTCAGCTTCCTCATATGTCTCTGCCTCTTCAGAGGGCTCTACTTCTGCTTCCTTGTCTTCACTGGCTTTTGCTTTCCCTTTTTCTTTAGCCGTTGCTCTGAGTCTCTCTCCTGCGGCTGATGTTTCGCCTGCATCAGCTGACGCCTTCCCCTTGTCTGGTGTCTCCTCTGTGGTGGAGGTTGTTGGTGTGCGGCAGTTGCGGCACATGCCATCAGGTCTAGGTGCGTGCAGATCGATCTCTCTGGGGTGAGCATGATGCTTAACCCAGGGCGACCATCAGGGTGGGCACGTTCGTATGGCCAAACGGCGCGCTGGGGTTGAAGGTCGATGAGATCCCCAGAGTCGGCGCGGCAGTCTGGGATGTCAAAATCTAGGATGTAGACGCCGTTGTCTGGGCACGCCTTGCCGATGTAGCGCGGCTTGCTGTCGCCAATGCTGTAGTCTTTCCAATGGATTAGGATGAACCGACTCTCTGGGTCCGTGCTCATGAGGACGCCGCCGTGGACGAGTTGCTCGTAGGAGAGTAGGTTGTACTTGAGGTCCCGCATGATGAGCACATCATTGAGGGTGATATGGATGTCGCTGTCGTGCACCTTAAGAACAACGATGCCGCATGCGTGAGCTTCGAGTTGCTGGTTGTTGGCCACCGTGACGACGGTGGGCTGCGGTATGGGTCGTGCGTTGGAGATGAAGCGCTTGGATCCTACCATGTGCTGTCCGCAGCAACTGTCAAGGTACCATGTGTTGTATGCGTCAGTTCGGTTTTTTGCCGAGAGCGCGAGATTTGGTGTGTTGCGGAAGGGGATGCGCTTGTCACCGGCCCAGCGGTAGTTAACAACAGGCCGGGTGTTGATGTAGTGACCGTAGAAGTAGTTGTGAATGGACGGTGAGTTGATGAAGTCCTCGTCGTGCGGTGGCGACTCGAGCAAAGGGGTCGGCAGGTCCCAATCTTGTTCGTCTTTGTCAGAGACGAACTCCCCGTCCTGTGTGAAAGGATTGTTGTAGCCGGAGTATTCGACTTCGCGTCCAGGAGGGGGAGGAGAGACATGTCGCAGATGCCTTCAGTTTGTTCGCCCTGTACGACGATGAACGCGCATCGCCATGTTGCCGATGACGTGGCGAACGTTGCTTGAGTAAGGACGTGTCAGACTCAGGTGGTTGGCGCGGGGCAGGCCGATGGTCCGAGGACGGTCGGTTTGCCTGGCGCGAGTTATCTGGGACAGGAGTTGCATTGTTACGCGGCGCAGAGTCGGGTCGTGGCCCGGATCGACATCGCTCGTTGAGTGACCGAATATTTTGCAGATTTTGCAATAATATTGGCGCGGTCGTGAGTCGCGAGAGTCGCAGGGCCGACGTTGATCGCGGCCAGAATAGAAAGCGAGGGTTTAGGGTAGGAGTATGGCCCCTTTTTCTTTGTTGAAGTCCATGTCTTGCTGTTCGTGCAGGAGTGTGGCGCAGAGATGCGCTTCGGAGACGGTGCCTTGTTGGCGTAGTAAGGCCTGTGTCCTCCGCCTGACCAGTCACAGCCGCAGTTACTGCCTGGCTCTCTACTGCCTATTGCTTCTCCCTACCCTGCACAGACAGGCTCCCTGGCAGACCGTCGTGAGCCTGCCTCTCGTCCTGCCTCCCCTGTTCGCACTGTCAGTCGTGCTCGTCGTCTTCGTCCTCCACCTGTGCCCGGCACGCACACTATGGCACTTCGTCCTTCCTCTGTTCCACAGCGTGTTTCTCTACCGTCTCATCCGGCGTCCTCTCTTCCTGACGTTCCTGACCCTGAGTCCGACCTTGCTCGTGTTGCTAGTCCTACTGTCGCTCGTCTCCTCGCCACTGTTGTCACTTACCCTTCCTTTGAGTCTACTGCTGCGTCTGCCCTAGTCACTGAGCTAGTCGACTTTGCTGCTACCCGTCGTCTCGACTACGTCGCGAGTCTTGTTACTGAGTCTGGGTCTATTTGTCCTCCGTCCGTCGGGGGTGAGTTTGCCCTTAGCTGTGACGTCCTTGAGGACAGGCAGTTTGAGCTCGGTTGTCTCGCGGCCGTTTTACCCCGTTTCGCGTCCATGCTGCTTTGCCATGAGGGAGACCCCGATGCACTGGACCTCCCCACCCAGCGCTCTTACGCAAAGGCGATCACGGGTGAGTACTCCTCTTAGTGGCAGACAGCCACGGACGCAGAGATGGCTTCCTGGAAGTCCACAAGCACCTACGTCGACGAGGTTCCCCCTCCTGGGGCGAACATAGTCGATGGCATGTGGATTTTCATAGTGAAGCGGCCGCCGGGTTCTCCGCCTGCCTTCGAGGCGCGTTACGTTGCTCGAGGCTTCAGTCAACGACACGGGGTCGACTTCTTCTAGACCTTCTCCCCCACCCCAAAGATGACCACTCTTCGGGTGTTACTGCACGTTGCAGCACAGCGTGACTACGAGCTGCACTTCCTCGACTTCTCCACACCTTTCTTGCAGGGCAGCCTTCACGAGGAGATCTGGCTGTGCCGCCCACCTCTTCACTAGGTCGTTTCCTGAGGGTACCCAGTGGAGCCTCCGGCGGCCAGTCTACGGTCTCCGCCAGGCGCCCCGCGAGTGGCACGACACACTGAGGACGACACTTGCGGCTCTTGGGTTTGCTCCTTCGACTGCTGACCCGTCGCTGTTTCTGCGCACTGACCCCTCTCTGCCACTGTTCTACATCCTCGTCTACGTCGACGACCTGATCTTTGCTACAGCCCACACCGAGGCGCTGACCCTTGTGAAGGCGGAGCTGCGGAAGAGACATACTTGCACTGACCTGGGTGAGCTGCGTAGCTATCTTGGCTTGCAGATCACCCGGGTCATAGCACGGTGCACCATCACTCTGACTCGGTCACACATGGTGCACCAGGTCCTTCAGCGCTTCGGCTTTCAGTTCTCCTCGCCACAGTCCACTCCTTTGCCTACAGGCCACTCGCTCTGAGCTCCACCTTCGGACGAGTCCGTAGAGCCGGGTGGCCCGTATCCAGAGCTTGTGGGCTGCCTCGTGTACCTGATGACGTGCACACGACCTGACCTCGCGTACCCTCTCAGCATCCTTGCTCGCTTCGTCGCCCTCATAAGACACAGGAAGGAGCACTGGAAAGTTGCGCGGAGGGTACTGCGTTACTTGTGCAGTACATCAAACATGGGGCTCGTGCTTGGAGGACGGGGTCCAGTGGTACTTACAGGACACTCAGACGCTTCTTGGGCCGACGACCAGGCGACTCAGCGGTCGTCACAGGGTTACTCTTTCAGTATTGGCTCCGGTTGTGTCTCGTGGAGGTCCACTCGTTTGTCCTCTGTGCTCGGTTCCAGCTGTGAGGCCGAGATCTACGCTGGGGCCATGGCTGCACAGGAGCTACGATGGCTGACCTACCTGCTGGCCGACTTGGGTGAGCACCCTCGTTCTCCTCCAGTTCTGTACGTCGACAACAAGGCCATGATTGCCTTGTGTCAGGAGCAGAGACTGGAGCACAGAACGAAGCATATTGCTCTTCGTTACTTTCTTGCTCGGGAACTGTAGCAGCGTGGTCAGGTGCGCCTTGCTTACGTGGCCTCTCGGGCCAACACTGCTGATGTCTTCACCAAGGCCTTTGGGTCTGGTGATCATCAGCGTTTCTGCACTGCTCTAGGCCTTGTGCCTACTCTGCCTCACCTGCTTGTTGCTTTACTTTGTCTTGTTCTATGATATATATATATATATATATATGTATATATATAAAAACCTGCATGCTTGCTCTTGCTAGGTTGTGATCACTGTACTGCTTGTGCTTTTATAACTCTGCATGTGAACTGGCCTTGTGGCCGCTTGCTTGTGCTCAGACTGCGTGGTGATCTTGAGATCCACCATGAGCTTTGCTTTGCTTGTTCTCTTGCTTGACTGGTCTTGTGACCGTCCGTTGTGATTGCTATCCCCCCCTTTGCCTATGGGGGTGTGTCAAATTGCATTTTTATCTCTAGGCTGTAGTGGGGCATACTCTAAGGAGTACAACACTTTAGGTCATTCCTAGTACTTGTACTCATTCTTCCCTACTAGTCAATCATTCCTACGTTCTATTTCTGACAGGCAGGCTTGGTAGGAGGGCAGCAGGCGAGGCGGCAGGCGCCGCGGCTGGGCGCACGGCAGGCACGCGGCAGACGTTTGGCGGGCGCAGCGTGGCAGGGCGCGCGCCAGGGCATGCAGGGCGCGCGGCAGGCGCAGCAGGGCGCGGCAGGGCGCGCGGCAAGGTGCGGTGGGGCGCGGTAGGCGGGGCACGATGGGGCCGTACGGGGGCCGCTAAAGGGGGGGAGGGGTGGGGGGGAGACTGGGGCCGCTAAGGGAGGGGTCGCTAGAGGGGTTCCTGAGGGCACTAGGAGCAACTAGGGATCTAGGATGGGCGGAAGCGAGGGAACAAAGTGCACATGACAAAAGTACTTCTTATATATCTGTACATAACCGTAATTTACTCAAATGTAGGCGCACTTCTGATCTTGTTGCAATTTGTAAGCGCACATGCGCCTGTATCCAGAGTATTACGTCAAAATGTCTATTGTACGGTGTGTCTAAACGTCACAGCTCATGGAGCAGGAAGTGCACGAGTCCACGAACTACAGCCTCCCCTACCACCCCTCCAGCCACATATCCACTCCAGAAGTGCGGTGCATCAAAACACGTGTAATGCCGGTTTCCGTGCGGGCAATTGTCCAAATACCGAGGAGCCTCAATCTTCCACCCGTCAAAAACTGGCACTGACGCCACGGACAGTTGGGATTGGGAATTGTTTCCAGCGGCCACGTGGCGCACGACGCGGTTGAGCTCCATGATGCCCAGGTTGGTGGACGGGCCCACCGACACACTGCTGTAATGCGCGCAGTGCTTGCCCGCGTTGGGCCCCGGCGTCGCTGTGCGAAGCACCAACGGCTTGCCGCTTGGGGCGGCGAACTGCAATCCCCAGTTGAGAAACTCCGGCAGGTGCGCTCGAAAGGCTTGGAGTGGGTGTGTGCAGAACCTGTCGGTCCAAGCGCCTGCATTCATGATGGTGACGTCAGCGGTGCGCGAGATGACCTCTGGGAAGGAGTCGGTGCGATTGCTGGCCACGCCTCTGTCACTGATGGGTGAAGGTGAAGGAAAGGGCGGAAAGAAATGGTGGTGGTTGGATATGATGACGCTGTGAAGGTGCAGATGCCACTATGTGTGCTCGGGTATTGGAGCAAGCGGCTTGAGAAAGGAAAGGAAGGTGAAGGGGAGGAGGAGGGGGGTGGGGGAAGGAAAGGGAGGGGGAGAAGATGTGAGAATGGAGATGGCAGTCAGTGATGGCAGCTGTGGTGAATGTGGTGCTGGCATGATGTGCTGTGATGAGGTGAAAGATAAGGAACGACCAAGGGTTTCGGAGGTGGGGGAGGCGGGCTGGGACTAAGGAGAAGGTTAAATGGCATCACTTCACGCCCACACTCACCCATGGTCACACTCACCCATGGTCACACTCACCCACACCCGCACTCACCCACACCCGCACTCACCCACACCCGCACTCACTCACACCCACATTCACCCAGACCCGCACTCACTCACACCCACGTTCACCCACAGCACACGGAACAAGCACACACTCCGCCCCCAAAAGCCCGATTGCTGCAATCCCTCCCCGTCCCCCTTCCCCCCACACACACATACTCGTGACTGCTGAAAGGATGAATAATCTATACCCAACACAACCACGGCTCTACCCACCCATGGTCACACTCACCCACAGCCCCACTCACCCACAGCCCCACTCACCCACAGCCCCACTCACCCACAGCCAAACTCCCCATTGCGGTAGATCCCATCAATCCAATAGTAGTTGATCCGGAACGTCTCCTTCCTGTCGTTGCTGGAGTGGAAGGTGTAGTTGAAGTGCGGGTCCGGCAGCACGTCCCCCGTGCTCCCCGACAGCAGGAAGTGCAGGTGGTTCGCCAGCACCCGCTGGTGCGAGTCCCCCACTATGTTCATCTCCTCTATGCCCTTGCGCCGCAGATCCGAGATCCAACGGCTGGGAGGCGATAGTGGTGGCGCACAGGGGAAGAAAGTCCAGCTGGAGGGGCGGGGTTGAAAGGGAGGGGAGGGGATGGAGGGGACAGGGTGGAGGGGAGAGGGTGGAGGGAAGGAGTGGAGGGGAGATGAGTGAAAGAGATGCCGGAGGGAGAATGGCCCTTGTGCATGTGGGAGTGGAGTAACGGGACTTTGGACGTGGATGACACATAAGTGGGGATGACTCACTCAATTCCAGCGACCAGCCTAAGCAGACATACATGCTCCTGTGTTGCAGCGTCCACACCGTATAAACACTGGTTTTCATAAAGCTATACGGCAGACACTCCGATACATGCTGTACGCTCGGCAATGTTTTTTTCCGACAGTCCGGAAAAAAAATCATCGTGCAACGTAATTGCGCTTCGCGATTTCGACGCGCGACATTCTCGTGAAACCGCGAAGAGGCGAGAGTTTTAGGGTTAGGAGAGCTGCAGCAGAAATGTGAGCAACGGAGACATGAGTGCTGTAAATTATGTGTAGCAGATCTGTGTGCAGAGAGGAAAGGTTGGGGGTTAGGTAGAGGGAATTTCGATAGGGTGCGATTGGGAGTGGTCGACTGGTTGGGAGGATTGGGGGATGTGAATGTCGAATTGGATTTTGTTTGCAACAAGGCCATTGGCTCTGCAAGGTTTATACCACCAATAGGGTTAACCTAGTTGCCTTCCCCCCATTTCCTCCTTCGCTATTGCGGTTTTTCTAAAACGCGCGGGGAAAAAAAAAACCACCTTTGCTGCCCAGGCATTGGCCAAGTGTATATACAGCGTATATAGGATAGTGTCTGGCGTTATGCACGTTATATGCCTACTTACAGCTTCACACTGGGTCACAGCGGATGAGATGGGGTGACAACAGGTGAGGGGTGACAGAGGGTGGGATGGGATCACTCACGTGTAATTGCCATTGCTGTCCTTCTTCCAGCGACCAGGGATGGATCCAGGTGTGCAGGGTGTGGCCTGGCTGCTGGGGGAGGTGGTATCTGGGGAGGTGGTATTCGGGGAGGTGGCATCTGGGGAGGTGGTATCTGAGAAGGTCGTATTCGAGGAGGCTGTAACTGGCGTCATGGCATCGATTCCCCCAACCCCCATGTCAGCAGCACCATCACGAGCAACGTTACCAGCAGCACCAGCTGTGCTTGCAGACGCAACGTTCCCGGAATCTGACTGCTTGAGCCAGCCAATAGAGAGGTTCCACGTGGCAAGGTCATGGCGGAAGGTGGAGTTGAAATGGGCGGCGGAGTCAGGCGAGAAGTTGAGGTTGGCACACCCCACAGCGAGAGTGGCTCTGGCATGGGGAGAGCAGGAGGGTGAGTAAAAGAGTGACTGTAAGGGGGTAAGTGTGAAAGCGTGGGTGGGAAAGGGTGAGACGGGCCACTAATGGAGTGGTGTGAAAGGAGAAGAGCATCACAATCCACGAGCGAAAGGACGCCGTTGTGGAGGGGGAGAAGGGCATTGGGGTGACGGCGAACCTATAGGGCGAGACTGGCAAAGAGCACGTGCAGCGTACCTATAGTCCCCCACGTCCCAGAGGCGGTAAGAGATGAGGTAGTGCGAGCAGGCAGGGGGGTCAACACACTGCACATCCCCACTGCCCAACGCCGGGCCCTCCAGTGTGAGCGTAAACTCGTTCTTCAACCAACCGCTCTCATTGCTGCTGCTGCTGACGCTGCTGTCATTAGAGCTGCTGCTGTCGCTGTTGCTTCGTTTGCTGCCCGCCTCCCCTTCGCTGCTGATGTCGCCCTTGCTGGCCCCGTCACTCTGATTGGTCGCCAAGGGCGCGAACCAGTAAGCAGGCGGCATCACCCACACGTGTATGCTGCACTCCTCCCCCTGCACGCATCCACTGCACCCTCTGCCACCCACCACCACTCCCCCTCCTCCTTTAGCTGCTTGTGTGGTGCGGTTGACCAGGGCATCTGCCACGGATTGCGGGTGAGGGGATGGGGGCCCACTGGACTGAATACTCTTTACCACCCCTCTCCCAACTGCCCAAGGCCCTTGCACCACAGCTGCAGCCACTCCCCGTGCTGCACATCATCATACGCTAGGAGCAGCAGTCCCCCCCAGCCAACGACTTGGCTCAGCCGGCTGGACCGAGTGAAGCCGATACCGGCCTCGCCGGCTCGTAGGCTCGTCCACGCTCGTCACACGAGCCCACAGCCGCCTCAGCGAGTCGCCGGCTCGTTGGTAACGCGCGGGTGGCTTGTGGGGAGCTGCGAAACCCGAGATCCGCGTGGAGTCTCGTTTAGGTGGACTCCCAGGCAGTCAGGAGTCAGGGGGGGCGAGCTGTGGGCAAAGGCAGCAATAGGGGGGAGCACGGGGAGGGAGCACCGGTGGGAGCAGCAGCGGGAGGAGGCAGCAAGGGGGGGCGGGGGGTGGGGAGCAGCAGGGGAGGGGGGCAAGCAGCGAGGGGAGGGAGTACCTGAGGACCAGCAGACGTGTTGAGAAGGATCGACTTCAAGTGGCGTCGACTCCTTGGGCTCGAGATGCGGGACCTCCTCGGATTCGTCTCGTCTGCTCAGGTCCACCGCGCCACTGCTTCCCTGCCAGCCACAACGACAAACGGTTCGGCGCACTGGGCTACTTAGCACGCGAATCGGATGGAAAAGAGTGATCCCCCAGCGGGAAAGCACGTCGAGCGGCAAGGCGTCAGCGAGAAAGTCGAGGCGAGGCAGGCCCGGCGAATAGCACGCAGGTCGCGGCGCGAGGACGATGACAAATCAGCAGCGCACAGCTGGCGTTACAAGTGGGAGTGCACCTGCTGCATGCCGATGTCGGTGGCAAGCGCCATAGCTCGTTGTTCCGGAAGCCGGTAGAGCGGTGTGGAGGCAGCAGTGGGGTTGGACGGCATCTGCATGATGACAGGGAGGGTGCTGCGACTCAGCTCGTACAGTGGCGGAAACACGAGCAGCAGCACGGCGAAGCCGATAACCCCTTTCCACAGCCATTGCTGGCGGCCTATTGAGCGCCAGACCATATCTACAGCCACTGATGGGGGCCTAATGAGCGGGACATGTGCGGAGCAGGAGCGGAACGGACAGCACGGGGGGGAGAGCAGCTGTCCAGCTTCGGCTAGCGCCCGAGCATTTGGCCTGGTCGGCTTGGGCTTCGACGCGCTGACAATAGCAGTGTTTCGCGGTGTGAGGGGGTTCTTATCTCAAAGGGATACTTCAGGACATGGCCTTGGGATAGGCACGCGTGTGGAGAGGGGTACCACATTATGAGGACGCGTCCCCCCTAGCGGATCGACCCTGTGTAGGATATATTTGCGGCTGTACTGTAGCCTAATGTCTCAGATTAACCCTATTTGGGCTAGAAAAGTGTAAGGAATCACAATCCCTTACTATAGACATCCCTTAGCGGGGATGTACCGAGCATCTCGTGTCAACTGGGTTCGGCCTAAACTTTCGGCCCGAACCATCGAGTCGCCCCCGCACCATTTGCCACCTTTCCAAACCTCGCCTAACCCGAGGTCTTCGCCTAGCTAGAAATTGCCCTATATATTTGCACATCGCTTTCATTGTATCCACCGCTTTTGTAATCACAGTCTCATTATTAACTTATTCTGCGCACTCCGTTAGTTCAACTCATAACAGAAAAAGGAATCCACAGTAAATTGGCTTCGGTGATCTTGTCACATCTAATTTTGACGATCGATATGCACCAATATCGATATGGAAATTGGAAACGATGGGGCGGGGCTTGCGCCCTATGTCACAGGCTCCAGCTATTTCCGTCGCATAATTCAGTAACATGACATGGCGACAATAGCATTTGCGCTCAATTTAATTTATAGTGTTACGACTGTCGCACATTTTTTGTCTACACCTGATGCAATCCTCCGACTCATAACATGTCAACCAAATATCATTGTCAATAACCGATGCAGTACGATGCAGTCATGCGCACAGCTCGGGCCCGATTCCTGAGTCCCTAGAGATGACGCGTTTCACAGGCGAGCCGAAATACAAATCGAAACCACAATTGATATCAGTTGTACCGTATGGCCCCGGATATAAGAGCGTGTTCCTACACCTCGTATCAGCTTCGCGTGGTGAAATACGTTTCAGTGTGTTCTGCTGCGGTTGGATACGTTTTAGTGCGGTTCGACGCGAATCTGATACGAGGTTGCCTGATATGAGGCCGTAGGAATACGCTCTAAGCGCCGTCCGTTTAAAAGCGCCGGGGCTTCTATCTGGAGCAGGCGCTTATAGCCGCGACTCGATTAGAAGCGCACCCCTTGTGAAACCTGTACTTATTATAAGCGCATCCCTGTATTGTTTTTTGTTTCAAAGTGATTTCTTAACACAATTTAACTAACTTGTACTTGCACGAAGACAATCTAAAGTTCTAATGATTAGACTAGCACGTTATGAATGTACATTCACAGTATGCAAGGTACTGCACAGCTTTACAACCTCTAGCACGTCTGTCAGAGGTCCACAGGTGATCCCCGATTGATCCTAGGGAAGGGTTACAGGCTCGTTGTCCTGGGGGGTTATGGGCGCACTGACCCGTTACTTAACAAGCCCTTTTATCCCAGTGGTCTAGTCACTCGGATTCTGACATGGTATCAGAGCGAAGGTCTCGGGTTCGAATCCCAGTGTGTGCACTTCGGGCATCCCAGTGCGGGGGGGTGTCAGAGGTCCACTGGTGATCCCCAATTGATCCTAGGGAAGGGTTACAGGCTCGTTGTCCTGGGGGGTTATGGGCACACTGACCCGCTACTTAACAAGCCCTTTTATCCCAGTGGTCTAGTGGCTGGGATTCTGACAACGTCTACTTCTCATCGTCTGACTCAGGCTCCGGGCAGTTGTTGCCCCAGAAGCCGTCGGCCGTGATGTCGTCCACGTCCACTTCGTGCGTGAGCTGTCAGAATAACGAACAGGAATGAAATGAACTAGCATCAAGGTGGGTACAAGTAGGAAACCCTAATTGGGTTGTACCCTATATGGGCTACCCCACTACAGCCTACGGAATAATCAGCATATAAGTTTGACACACCCCCATAGGCAAAGTGGGGGAGAACAAGAGGTCACAAGACCGGTCAAGAAAAGCAAAACAAGCTCAGGGTGGATCACAAAGTCACCACGCATTCTGAGCACAAGCAAATGGCCACAAGGCCAGTTCACATGCAGAGTTATATAAAGGAGAACAAGCAGTACAGTGATCACAACCTAGCAAGTGTAAGCATGCAGGTATATGTATATAGATCACAGTACAAGCAAAGTCAAGAAGTGAGCAAGTGAGGCAAAGTAGGCACAAGGCCTAGAACAGTACAGAAACGCAGTGTTGGCCTGAGAGGCCACGTAAACAAGACGAAGCTGACCACGCTGCTGCAACTCTCGAGCAAGGAAGTAGCGCAGAGCGATGTGCTTCGTTCTGTGCTCCAGTCTGTGCTCCAAACACAAGGCAATCATGGCCTTGTTGTCGACGTACAGAACTGGAGGAGAACGAGGCCGCTCTCCCAAGTCGGTCAGCAGGTAGGTGAGCCAGCGTAACTCCTGTGCAGCCATGGCCCCTGCGTAGATCTCAGCCTCACAACTGGAGCTTAGAACAGAGGACGAGCGGGTAGACCGCCATGAAACAGAGCCGGAGCCAAGGCTTAAGGTGTAACCCTGTGACGACCGCTGCGTAGCCAAGTCGTCAACCCAAGAAGCGTCTACGTGACCAGTGAGAACAACTCGAGCCCGACCTCCAAGCACGAGCCCCATCCCCGACGTTCTGCACAAGTAGCGCATCACCCTTTTAGCGGCCTTCCAGTGCTCTGGTCGGTGTCTCCCGGGCGCAACGTAGCGAGCCAGGATGCTAAGAGGGTAAGCAAGGTCAGGTCGAGTGCAGGTCATCAGGTACATGAGGCAGCCCACAAGCTCTGGATACGGGCCACTCGGCTCTACGAACTCATCCAAAGGCAGAGCTGAGAGCGAGTGACCGATAGGCAGAGGAGTGGCCTGTGGCGAGGAGTACTCAAAGCCGAAGCGCTGAAGGATCTGCTGCACCTTGTGTGACTGAGTCAAGGTAATGGTGCGCCGTGCTCTGTCCCGGGTGATCTGCAAGCCAAGATAGCTGCGCAGCTCACCCAGGTCTGTGCACGTGTGTCTCTTCTACAGCTCCGACTTCACGTGGGCCAGTCCAGCAGTGTCAGCAGTGGCAAAGACCAAGTTGTCGACATACACGAGGATGTAGAACAGCAGCAGCAAAGTGTCGGTGCGTAGAAACAGCGACGGGTCAGCAGTCGAAGGAGCAAACCCAAGAGCCGCAAGCGTCGTCCTCAGTGTGTCGTGCCACTCGCGAGGCGCCTGGCGGAGACCGTAGACTGGCCGCCGGAGGCTCCACTGGGTACCTGCAGGAAACGACCCACTGAAGCCAGGTGGGCGGCGCAGCCAGATCTCCTCGTGCAGGCTGCCCTGTAGGAAAGCAGTGCTGAAGTCAAGAGAGTGAAGCTCGTAGTCACGCTGAGCGGCGACGTGCAGCAGAACCCGAAGAGTGGTCATCTTCGGGGTAGGGGAGAAGGTCTGGAAGAAGTCAACTCCCTGTCGCTGACTGAAGCCTCGTGCAACGTAACACGCCTTGAAGACAGGCGGAGAACCCGGCGGCCGCTTCACCCTGAAAATCCACATGCCACTGACGATGTTCGCCCCAGGTGGGGGAACCTCGTCGACGTAAGTGCCTGTGGACTTCCAGGATGCCATCTCTGCGTCCATGGCTGTCTGCCACTGAGAGGAGTAGGGACCCTCAATCGCCTCTGCGTAAGAGCGCGGGGTCGGGATGTCTGGTGCATCCGGGTCTCCCTCAGGTGCAATCAGCATGGACACGAGATGAGGTACAGCAGCTGCAAAACACTCAAAGTCCTCCTGCCTGTCCTCAAGGACGTCCGTGCCAAGAGCACACTCACCCCCGACGGACGGAGGACACACAAACTCAGACTCAGCAACAAGACTAGCGGCATAGTCTAGACGACAGGCGGCAACAAAGTCAACAAGCTCAGCAACTAGGGCAGACGCAGCAGTGGACTCAAACGAAGGGTTAGTGATAGTAGTAGCTAGAAGACGTGTGACAGTAGGACTGGCAGCACGAGCAAGGTCTGACGGCGGGTCAGGGACGTCAGGAAGAGAGGACGCAGGAGGAGACAATAGTGGGACACGCAGTGGAACAGAGGAAGGACGAAGTGCCATCTGGTGCGTGCCGGGGACAGGAGGAGGACGCTGACGCGGAACACGACGACCAGTGCGAACAGCGCGAACAGGCGACGTAGGACAAGACTCAGGCTCACGACGCTCCGCAAGACCTCCGGTCGGCCCAGTGTAAGGAGAAGGACCAGGCAGTGGGGAAGCTGGCTGTAACTGCGACTGCGACTGGTCAGGCGGTGGACACAGTAAGGGAGGAGTAGGACCAGTAGAAGGCGGGAGACCAAGAACCTGCTGAAGGAGTGGAACGAAGTACGGCCGCGGCCGCGCAGCGCCTCCAGAACCAGCACCGACAGCACAAGTACCCTCAGCTCCAGGGTCTCCAGCTCCAACGCCTGCAGTACCACCAGCTCCAG